TTTCTCAACCTCGGCAACTTTAAGATGTGTGGACTTCAACTCCCAGAATTCCCCAGCCAGATTGCAACATCTTTTTGCAAGCTACCATTATTCTAGAGATGGGCAACCACAGACTCCATCCAGGTCCCAAGCTTCTTTTTTATAAGGATGAGAGCCACCATCACCATCCCATCCTGAGATCATGCTACTGTGATTTGATAGCAAATTCCTGATTTACGGAAATACATTGTTCTCCCCCCCCCCAAAATACAGGCTAAAATAAACATGTTAAATCTCTGATGGTCTGAGTACACCTATTTGAAGGGCATCTGCAGGGGAGTCAAGATGGCCGTTGTGATGTGATTAAAGTTGCAACACTTGTGAAAAAGTGGGGGATTTCATGTGGTCAGGGCCACCATTTTGCCTTCTTTGAAACTCCTCTGCAGACGCCCCTGCAGATCTGCAATATTTGAGAGGCTGAGACTGTAACTTACTCTCTGGAGCAGCAGCTTCTCAAACTTGACAACTTTAAGATGTGTGTGGACTTCAACTCCCCAGCATAGCTGGCTGGGGAGTTGTGGGAATTGAAGTCCACACACATCTTAAAGTTGCCAAGTTTTGAGAATTAGTGAGCTAGAACAACACAGGAAGCCATGCAGTGATATATCACAGGAAGGGGCAGAGCCAAGGAATTTCATTTCTCTGGGTTTTAAGGGTGGAAATGGGGAGACAAGGCCTTTGTGAATTTCCACCTTTATAATGATCCAATTAGTTAAAAAGTTGAAATAAAAACAGAGTAACACTTTGTCTCCAAACGTTGGCAGAGTAATCTCAGGGTGCTATGGAAGTATGCTTCCTGCATGGGATGCCAAGGCCATCTAACAAAGATTATAGTACAATCACGATGGCAGGCTTAACTTTGGCTATATGGTCCCCACAGTATAAAAAGCTGCAGGGAGGGTAAAAAGGCCAGTAAACATCAAGTCTCCAGTCAGGGAGGCACCACAATTATCAGGGGGACTAATCTATGCTTTGCAGACAAAGCAGCTGTAAGGAAAACAAAAGCTTAGCTGCAAGAACAAATTCATCTGCTAGTGCATGTGCGTGCGTACACACACCACTGTGATTCTCCTTTGCTTGTTCCTATCAAATCAGTACAGGTGAACTGACATGTTTGCAAAGGTAATCAGTATCTTTTTATGCAAAGCTGAAAATAGTGTGTGGGAACTAAAGCGGGCCACCTTAAATATTGAAGAAAATATAAAATTTTCATGACAAACTCCATTTCCGGCGACCAGTTTTCTCAGCAAGAATGCGCAAGTGGTTTGCCATTGCCCCCTTTTTTATTTACTTGGGCAATTTTACAATACTCCCATCCAAATACTAACCAGGTCCAATCCTGCTTAGCTTTACAGAGCTGGTTACATCTTACATGCTACCAAGATAAATCTCTGTAGTTTCTTCCAAACCCAATCCAGTATCATTATAAAGTTGCCGCTGCATTGCAAAGAACATGGGAACTCACCTCTATGGCAGAAGCATACAAATTTTATCTCCCTGGCCCCTTGGCAGTCAAGATGCTGCTGCTGCTGCTTCAGCATTTTGGAGAGAGGTAGAGCCTCAGGCTAACTAAGATACTACGATCAGTGCTGTTGCAAGGGGGGAAAAGTATTCTGTCCTTTTTGCAGCCCAACAATTATGGGAAGTGTAACAGAATCAAATTTTGAAACTACACTGGAGAGGGAAAATAAACTTCTAAAAATGCCATCTATTAAAAAAAATAGGAAAACGTCTCCAAATTCAAGAGTCACCGTTTTAGTCTGGGGAAGGAAAACCCTTTCCTCTCAATAAATTTTTGCTGTTAGGAAAACACAATCCACCCCTTGTTGTATAGTAATTCCTTGTTAAATAACCTTGGCAGAGACAGTTTGGGGTAGTGGTTATGGCATCAGGCTAGAATCCTGGAGACCCTGAGTTCCAATCCCACCTTAGGCATGAAGCCAGCTGGGTGAACTTGGGCCAGTCATTCTCTCTCAGCCCTACAAAGGAGGCAAGGGCAAACCACCTCTGAAAAACCTTGCCAAGAAAACTCCAGGGACTTGTCCAGGAAGTCACCAGGAGTCAACACTGACTTGAAGGCACTAAGACAAACACCCTACAAATTTATTTCCCCCCATAATCTCCTCAAAATGCACATATATTTATTGTATAATCCTCATTTAAACAAAGGTCCAAGTTTTCCCAGCTGATCTGCACACTTATATTGAACCCCATGATAAATACATTTCTTGCTCCTGCCAAAATGGAAACAAATTAACAAATTAGCCATTTCCAAAATGTTTATTGAAGCAATAAGAGTTACGCATACTGTGCTGAAAAAAGTAATTTAATTGAATACAGAAACTTAAAAAACAGTACTGCAGCATAAGATAGTTGTCTCAACTAAGCCCTCTTTTCTGTAGCCCTCCTAATCCATCAAGAAAGAATCAATTCTCAAGATCTAAGATCTATTTTTTCTACTGTAACCATCTTGCGCTCTTGGAAAAAACATGTAGAAAGGCACTTGAAACTGTAAGCGTGCAAACTGTTTCAAACTTGAAAAGCCCTGCCTTAAGTTTGAAACTACCTTACTGGAAGTGTTCTGATGCTGTTTTGAGCATCATGGAAGTGTCCCAAAATCAAAGTGGCCCTATCCTAAAGGGGGTGTTTCAAACTTGAAACATTTTGCACACCACTACTTGAAAGCTGTTTTTTTTTTAGTGTTGCTGGTAAAAGATCCTTTTGTTTCTGCACCAGATGTGTTACTCTCACTCTTCATTCCAGGTCATCATGATGAGAAGTTTCATTGATTACCTATTAAGACAAATTACATCAAGTATTAGAATGGTAACTCACTGTCAGTGGACTTGGCTGCTAAACATTTCACTGGTGACTTTAAGGGCTTTCTTCTTTTGTTTTTAAGCATTTTCTACATTTGAACTGATGCTGAGAAAACTAATATGAACCTCTCCATCCGTAGCCCACGAGGTCAGTGGTTCAAAGCATGATGGATGGGGGGCAGGGAGTCACTGAGTTTGCAATGGCTTTTCTTGGGATTGTGGGTCATGATCCCAGGAAAGATGCAGTGTTTTACAAGAGTTGGCAACACATGCTCTATTTGCATGCCTCTGTGTCTTCTGGAAGCAAATCCAATGTGCTGCAGTTCTAGAAGCCTAGTATGAAAGGGCCACACTTAGCATTACTGAATGCTGAGCCCAGAAATTTTGAACATCAAGCAAGCTGATAATGCTCCCACACAAATATGGTCCTGGTTATGCCAAACTTTCTTCACTTCAGCCATATGATTCAGGACAAGTCATGTCATTGCTGTTACTGTTAAACCAAGTTCAGTTAATCTACTGCAAATCATTAAATGATCTGCCATTTACACCTTCTGCATTGAAAGCAAGCAGAACATTTAATTCAGTGATCCCTACTGCCCTTTGCAGTACCCCTACCAGGGATCTCAAAAGTATGCCAACTTCCCACAGCTTTCTCTTTGGACCATTCGCCCAGGCTTTTCCTTCTAAGTCAAAACTAGAAGAGTTACATGCATTGAAACTTTACACTTTAGAGATAACCGAGCTTCTGTCATCACATCCTTCAACTTAATCTGTGTTAGTTGCTCTACCAGAAGCTGTCCTTGGCACTGCTATCTCACTCATGCACAGAAACCAGTGTGGAATTTCTCCACATTATAGGCAATGCTTTGAACTGATCCAGCCATTGAATAAATCCACTGAACAGAGCTTTAATGGTTTATAGTTTGGATTCCTTGTTTTTATTAGCTTGTATTCTTTGTTTACAGAATTACGTTCTAGGCATACAACCACAGTATGATGTCCACACTGCCTCAGAAACATCCCCCTTTTTTTTTTTTTTTAACAAAAATGTTAATTCTCAGTTTAGAGATAGCAAACACCTAAACTGCATTTACTATTCTAGGCATCTATGCTTTTTTTGTGGGTAGTAAATTTCCATTTAGTTGATACTATCAACAGTTTTACCCTAACATTAACCTGGATCCAAATCTAGTCTGAGAAGGGCCACAGAAATTGATGGGAACAAACATCAGTAAGGATTAATTTCCCATTGATGAGAGCAAAGAATCTGTTTTCAAGTAGGATTAAATCAGAGTCAACTTAGCATAGGCTCCAGCTTTGGCTATGTTACCAGAGGCAAGCTCAGCATTGTTCCTCAACCCAAACAGATGGTGTCTAGAAAGATGCTCTCATCTGGATCTTGCCTGGACTGGCCTTCATCCAATTGCAGATGGGCAGAGAAAATTACAGGGAATCTGCACTGGCAAATGGCAGTAGCCAAGGTATGAAAACATGTTTTAATTCTGCTTCCAAAGCCGCATGGTCAACCCAATCATTAAGCAGAGCGAGGGGACAGAAAAGTACCAAACTGTTCTATGCTGCCCAAATGGACCTGTCACTTTTTAGTGTGAATATGCTTGTCTAAATTGGGCTAGAATTCAACAGGCTTTTGCACCTTGGATGAGAATAGGTGTCATCTTAACCATTGCCTCAGCCATCAAATGACTCAGGCCAATCCTGCAAAGCTGCATAAATGTATGACTAAACAAATAGCTCATATAAACATTTCCTTCTCTTTATCTACTAATTAAGGTTAAGAGCACTCACTTGGCCATCTCTAGTTTCAACAGTCTTGATTAGGAGTGTTCTCTTTGAGTGGGTATCCACCGGGATAGACTCAAGATTTGTTTCTGTAGATGCAAAGACATACTATGGATTACAACCTCCAGCATGCAATTTCCAACATATGTGAGTTCAAACAGTAGTAATGCTGTTTTTAGGGACGAGGCTCAAGAAAGGCAAGAAAACCTTGAGAAAGGGCAACCTGGTAAATTATAAGGATTTTGTACTTCAGTTCCCATCAGCTTCAGCCCTGGTCACTGCTAAGGCACTGAGTAAGCTGTGGTCCAAAATATCTGAAGTCCACTAGCTGGCAACTTCTGTGTAACTACCAGACCATTAGTGTTTTAACTACTAATAAGAATCAAGAGAGGAAGAAACTAAAGCAAGTAAGCGTTCTGACCATTTATGCCATATGCCACCCATGTAGGCATTTTAACCGCACTTGTCTCTTCAAAAAAAATCAGGTGGGCATGATTTGGGGCACACTAACCTGTGAAGCCTAAGCTATTTCTCTTGATCAGATGCCAAAATGAGACCTCCCAATGCTAAGTGAAAGCCGAAAGAAGTTGCATTTCTTGAAACAGCCATTAGCTACTTACCTCTCAGATTCAGGGAAGCAAAAGTTGGAATTGGCACGCAAATTCTATAAAAAAAGAAAAACGGACAAAATTCAGATTGAGATGAAGCTATGTATGATTGTACTGACACCAGCCTGCCCCAAATTCAGCCAATGCATTTTGTACCTGCTCTCCTCTCCCTCCAGCAGTTTCCTGTAAGTGGCAATTTCAATATCAAGAGCCATCTTTACATTTAACAGATCTTGGTACTCGCGGAGATGGCGAGCCATTTCTTCTTTCATGTTCTGAATTTCCTCCTGAAGCCGGGCAATGCTGTCTTGGTAGTTGGAAGCTTCAACCCCAAAGTTATCCTCCATCTCACGCATCTGGCGTTCCAAAGACTCACTCTGAAATGATTTTTGAAAACATGTCCTGATGTATTCAACCACAACTATCAGTCACATAGCACACAATTGAAGTTAACGCTGGAGCTATGCCCCTGACAAAAAACTGGCAAATTCTCCTCTCTTCCTGATTTTTTAGGTTAAAAAAGTCCCTTCAACCCATTTCCTTTTCTCTACTGTAACACAAGTCAACCTTTAAAAAAACTATTTCATAAATGATTCAGCTGTTATTTTGCTTGGCAGGCTGGCCCATTAGTCGAACAATATAGCTGGGTTTTAACTTATAATAAACAGTAACAAAAGACAAACCCTGAAGGTCAACAAAAGCCATCACTTTCTTGCTGTGTCTCTCACTTACAGTTCCTTTAAGGGCATCCACTTCACAGGTGAGAGACTGAATCTGCCTGCGGTACTCGTTAGCTTCTTGTTTAGCCTGGCGCAGGGCATCATTGTTCCTGCTGGCTGCTTCAGACAGATCTGCAAACTAACATCACCATACTAGGTTAGCAACTGTAAACGTGCTTGAATAAAAAACACCCTTCCTTTGATCCAACCTGCATTCCATGAGAAGATTGTAATTGGTTTGGGTTGTATGAGGACCTGAGACATTTCGTTTACTTTCAAAATTTGGAGGTGCGGTTTGCTATCATCATTGCAACAATGAATTCGAGTGACCAACTGCCTGTGAACAGTAACTGGGTTCACATTAATTTGTCTTATCATAGTTTATTCAATTAGTTGGCCGGGTTCACACACTGTACTGTGCTATTTTGTAGCTGGTCTGGTCTGGCTTACCATGTGGATCCAGATAACTGAACAAAACAAGTAATGGTTTAACATGATGATGATGATCTCAACCAGCCTTTTATGCATGTTAGAGCTGGCAAATAATACACAGTATACAAAATTATCTAAAGCGAAACTTTGGAATTATTTAGGAACAGATCCATTTATCTTCTTTTCAAATGCTCTACTTGAATGACAAAATCCTCTGAATGTTTGTTTACAATCTAATCAGCTGGATTGGAACAGTTTATTTCCAGTCTTAAAGAAAAAAAATATACTATATGTACTCATGGATAAGTCAAGGATTTTAGGTTCAAAAATACACCCCAAAAATTGGGTCAGATGGGCATGCAGATAATCCTCGCTTAACTACAATAGGGACTGGAAAACTGGCTGTTAAGTAGGGTGGTTGTTAGGCAAGTCACCATGTGACTGGACTCCGATTTTACAACCATTTTTACGACAATCATTAAGCAAATCATGTGGTCATTAAGCGAATCGTTTCTCCAATGGACTTTTTTTGCCAGAAGTCACTTAACTACGTGATTTGTTTAACGACCATCGTAAAAAAGGTCACAAATCACGGTGATGTGACTGCATGGGTGGTGGTGTGATGGTTTGTGATGGTTGTAAGTGCGAGTACAGGTCATAAAGCACTTTTCCTAAGGCCACTGAAACTTTGAACTGTCGTTAAATGAATAAACGAGGACTACCTGTATCCGCAAGTATATATGGTTTTTTTTTTTTTTAAATACCCATATATACTTTCAGGTAAATACTGGAGATAAGCCGACCCTCAAATTTTTAACCAAAATTCAATGAAAAACGTGCCACCTGTGGATAAGCCAATTGCGAAAATTAAAACATACAAAAATTTCAAGAGTTGGCTTATCTGCAGATGTCCACGAGTATATATGGTATACCAGGCCAGAGTGGCCATGGTACTCATGGGAAGGTACTGTCCTGCCTGCTATAAGGCATGCATGATTTCCTTTTGAATTGGCAATGTATATTATTTTCCATTATTCAATTTATCAAATAATAATGTGTCCAATTTTGCTTTGGCCCTGCCTTCTTCTCCTTTTGGATCCACTACTTTTTCTAGTTGCTCCTACTTTTTTCAGCACGGCCCTTAGGAGGACACAAAAGGCTGAATGCAGCCCTTCTCCTTTAGCAAAAGCTAGTACAAATATTTAATATTAGTGCTAAATCAGCAGAATCCAGTGACAAATTCATACCTTACTTAAGTCACTTCTGGTGGGCCAGCTGTGCATTATTGAGATTCATTGAAACTTGCATATTAAAAAAACTCCATGTTTTAATTAGCTTGCTTTGGAAGATTACAGTCTTAACTCCTGTTCATGTTATTTGCAGAGCTTCTGTTTACAAGGCAAAAGTAATCCCTACAGGATTTCACCAGCTTTTTAACAACAAAACCAAACCCCTCACTGATTCTCCAACACTTTTTAGCAACAGTGCAGAAGGAATCTTCAGGACAGAAGATACAAGGAATAATTTAGATTAGTGATAACCAATAAGTTGAGTTGAATTATTTAAGAATATTTATGGACCACTTTTAATCCCTCATTCATTCATTCAATTTATATAGCCGCCCATCTCAGACCAGTGACTCTGATGAGTGATAAATATATTTGAGTTTCATACAGAAAAATCTGGCTGCTAATCATGTCAGGGCAAATTTAAGCTGCACATGCTTATCTTTGAGTAAGCCCCACTGAATTTAACAGGATCTACTTTTGAGTAGGCAAATACTGAACTATCCTATTACTTAATTAACTGAAAAATGCATGCGTTGCCAAGGTTCTTTTCTAAAAGCAGAAAATGCAGGGTATTGTTTTCTAAATGACAAGCATGCAAATATTAGCATTCAAAAATAAAGAATAGGGCATATTTTAAATATATACAGGCCACCTTTAATGGGCATAATTATTTCTGAAATGTTATTAAGTCCAAACGTAGGTTCAGAGTATTCCAGAATGTGCATTAAAGGGTGCATGTGTGCATGCACACACACATACAATTGTTCCACCTTGAGTCAGTCAACAAGATAGAAGTTCAAACTTTGAGTTGCTGAACTACAAATTTACTTTTTTCTCCTTAAAATGTTACTGAAAACACTTTACTTACTTTGGATTTGTACCACTCCTCAGCTTCCTGAAGGTTCTTTGTAGCAACACTTTCGTACTGCTGACGCACATCACGCAGGGCTGCGGTGAGATCAGGCTTGGCAACATCCATGTCAATCTGGACATGTTGATCCTGGATTTGGGCTTGCAGCTCACGGATTTCCTTCAGAGATGAACAAATACTGGTAAGTGAACATTTACCAAGATGATTCTTTGTCCAGATATCTGTATTCAAAATGATGTACCTCATCATGAAGTTTCTTCAAGAAGACAGTTTCTTCTTGCAGGGATTCAACTTTGCGTTCAAGATCCAGACGGGCCAAGGAGGCATTGTCAACATCCTGAGGGAAGAAAAAATAAATCTAATTCACCAGGGAACACCCTAGAAATGCAAAATAAATATGCCCACAATAAACTTTGTGGTCAGCCCTTTTCATATTTACAGCAATTACGGTCTAAAGAGAGCAAATTCCATTTCTTTCCAGCATACTGAATG